TGTAGGAAATGCTGGCCCCAACGAATACTTAGTGTTTTGGCAGTGAGGATGTGATTGGCATGATCTCGTTCGGTGTTCAAGCGCCCAAGCATGGTAGCCCTGGGAGCACCCTGCCTGCTGTAAATTGGGTGATGTCGGCTGTCGGGTATAAACCACCCCTGATGCGCTTACATAAGGAAATTGGTTTGTGGGTACAGTCGGGGACAAGCAAAGCCACCAATTTAGTAATGGCACGAGGAGAAAATTTTACACCAAACTAATGGCAGATTTGGAACCAGCGAGTGAAAATACATCCAAAAAGATACTTGCTGAGTTTCTCCCATGATATTTTTTGGCTTGCCAAATTTTTCAGATTTTTGAGTGAAAATATCTATATGCCTAGGGGCCAGATTGCCAAATTTGGGTATATACACTACAGATTAAGGACTGCCTTAATGGCCATCATCACTCATTGTGATAGTTTTTGCTTTTGTACTGCCCACTCTGCAGCTTGTCCTGTAAGTCCCAGTCTTCAAGCACTCAAAATTTGGTGTGAATAGTGCAACTCAAAGTTGCCAGAGGTTTGGCTGTGGAGTCGGGAGTTTGTCAGGTGTTTGATGTGAGTTTTCAGCTGAGGATGGCAGAATTCAAACTCCAACCACTCTCTGCTTCACTCTCCTTGATCATCATCAACAGCCTGTCATCCATGGAGTCTGATTCCTCTGGTCCCCCCCAGCAGTGCAACCCTTCAAATTGGCAACAAAAGTAGCAGTCCCTCAAGTTCTCTGGGAGAAATCCTATACTGTGTGGACCGATCGTCTTATTGAGTGGTGCAGGACCCATGAATCAGAATGAAAGAAGCTCTTCTCAGACTCTACACAAGATGCTTGGGAGGAAGGTAGGAGCAAGCACCAATTGTGACATGGGAAGGGTGCCATATATGTTGAGATCACAAAGGTGATCTTCTCAGTCAGTGATGAGACACCTGAATTTCAGGCCCTTGCTCAAGACAACCCATCTGTCTTCACTGCTCCTATCTGCAGTCAACTTGAAGTGTAAGTGCTTTTTTTTGGAATCAAAAAACTACCACTTAAAAATTTTACAGTTTAAAAACCAAGTATTGAAAACAGAATGTGCTACTTGGGCAGACAGGTGCTGGATGTACCTATGAGGATCTGGTAGACAGCAGCAGCATGAAAAACATCATTGGTATGTAGACTTTTTTTTCACATCTGTCACTTTACTAATCATTATCAGCAATGATCGAGAAGGAATTTCCATGGTGGGGGGAATTGCATGGATGGTGGCACACAAACCCTGCCTACAATAGCACCTGGAGTGCAGCTGATAGTGGGCAGGGATTCATGAGGCATGTGGTCGAAGCTGTTCAAGCTGTAGCCAGACCCATTAGGTGGGGATCCCAGTTTTTCCTTGGTGGGTGTGCCAAATTCACCTGAGCTCAAAGAAGGTGAAATAGGAGAGGGTAGTGGTACTACTGACTTTTTTTTTGCAGAAGATTTGATGAGTGTGGATGTTGAGATGCCATTGCTTATGATCCAACCCCCCCCATTCCTGTTCTGAGTGGGGGTCATTGTCATCTGCAGCCCCACTGCTCCCTCCCTTCAGATCATCATCACTATCTGCTGCCCCCTCACCTGCACTATTTTTTTCTGAGTTGACATTAGCCTCCCCATCCCCCCTCCCATTTTTTTCTCAAAAGCCTGCACCATCACCCCTTCCTCCTGTTGCATCTGAGTGCTTGTCACTTGCCCCATCACTGTCCTCCATGCCTGGGTCACCTGCCATCCTGTCCCCCCACCCCCCTGTTTTTAACAAGGGCAATCCTATCAGCTTGAATGATGATCCCCCCTTCCCATTCATATCCCCCCATCTGAAACTCCAGCCCACACATCCATCCCTTGAACAGGACCAAGCCCTTCTTAAACCCAGGTCAGCATCCACCCCAAATACAGATGACTCTTCTGATTCTGACATCACATCCTCCAACATGTTTTTTATGCTCTGTTTCTCATCTTCTTCCCCTCCCACTACCACTCTGCTCTTGGATGACAGTGATTCAAAGCTGTCATCAAAATCATCCTGGAAGTGTGCTTGTGAAATGCCTGCTGACTGACTCTCCTTGAATCTTGCATCTGCCTTAATGAGTTTTGTACAGCAGTTCCAACAGGCACAACAAGAAAGGTCAGAGGCAAAATGTCACCATCTCCAGTATGGCTACTGGAAGGAGAATGAGAAGGCCAACAGCTCCCTGGCTGAATGTCAGCACCAGCTTGCAATGCAGCATGAGCAGTATGCCAATGAGGAAGCTATGGTGGCTCAGGAGCTAGAGAAGATGAAACTCACAGTGAAGTTGGAAGAGCTTCAGGGGCAGAACCTAGCCCTGCAGAAGGGTGTAGCTGGTGGTGAGGACCAAGGCCCTTTGTCAACTAATGAAGATGTTCACAAACTCAACAACAGTTTATGACCACATTCTTATCAGCATCTAGTATGTATCCCCCTTCCCCCCTGCTTATATACATGCTGTGCAACATATCCCCCCCCCCCCATATACACTGTACAACATATCCCCCCCTCCCCCTATATATGCACACTACATGGTCATGTAGTAGCTAGGCATATAACATGTTGTCATTCCCACTCCATTGAGTTTGAGAAAACAAGATATGCCAGATATCTCTATTGATAAGCATTTTCAGAGTTTTAAATAGCATTGTCTACCTCTCTACCATTTCTGCACCACACACTCTTGTCTGCAGAGGTTTAATATACAGTTGGAACTTAAATACTTAACCCACAAACTCACTGAACTTGCAACTCAACCTCACTTGAGTTTGCTCATGTGTTTCAACTTTGAGTGACCCTAATGGATGATAAAGTGCCAGATGACTTTAACAGGACATGAACTGAGGATGTCCATTGTAGCTTCTTTCACTGTAGCAATGTTTGGTTTTGTTGACTGCCAGTAATAATTAGTAAGAATATTCAAAACTCAATTGGATTCAGTCTGCAGTGGAATTTTGGCAAGAACAAGCAAATATGCCCAATGTTTGCTTTTTTTTTTGAAGTGGCACCATGACCCATGACAACTCTCCATTCCAGGAATGTGTTCAGTTCAGTAAAAGGAGTTAAATGCATATTTTTTGGTATTTTTAGCTATTTTCTTTTTGGCACACCAATTTTTGGACACTAGTTGACATCAAGGGCACATTTTCAAGGGAATTGGCTTGTGAAAAAATGATGAACTAAGCCTAAATAAGCTATTTAAGTGATTTAGGTACATCTCTGTTGCATGTGTAATCCAGGAAAAATCAGACAAGTTTTTTGATGTGTTTGCTTGTCCCCAACTGTACTTCATGGTGTTGGAAGTTTAAGGAAGTTTATGAACTTACATACATCCAGTTATCATCACTTTCATGTGATTAATCTGCTTGTACCACTTATACCAGCATGTCATAATGACTCTACTGATATTCTATAACATTCCATGACCATTCTTTACTTAGTATAGCAGGAGAAAACTCCTTATGGTAGTTTTATGATACTCAGTGCTACTTGGTACATGCACTGACTTTCATGTATATATACTCGAGACCTGGGGAGCTATACCCTCAGACTGAAATTGACTTCTCATTGATGTCATCAGCTCTACTCACTACCGAACCTTCTTCAAGCCAATCACCCTTCTGCTATAAAGGCAAGTGTTCTGTCTTGCCTATCTCCATGATTAGTCCTCTGTGCAATAGGTTATGAGCCCTGACTTCTATTCAGATATCTCATTGTCTAAAGGACATTTGTTTCACTGGTGATGACTATAAACAATGCCTTTGGATGGCCTAGAAGCACTTGGTTGGGTGATGGCAACTTTTGTCATTTCACTTCTATGCAGGTTTTATCAAGCAGTTTATTTCATGTGGTTCAGTATCATTACCAATTTCCACTCTGCCTTCATTGCCTCTGCTCTTTATTGGGCAATGGCTTTGGGTGTTCTGACATGGTACCAGGTATATCAAAATTGGCTTCCCTATCAAATCTGACAACTCCAAGAAGAAAAACAATGTCTTGCCAAGGTTCTAGGACCTAATCAGCATGTATCAACATGTTCAAAATCTCTGCCAACTTCTTCCTCTGGAAATTCCCAAGCAAATTGTGGAACTTCCTGATGACATTCCAGAGCTCCCTAGGCATGAGGTGCCAGTGATAGTTTTTAAATCTGCCAGAACAACCACCACATTATTTGCCTCATGCTATTCCTGATCAAGATGATGATGTGGATCTTGATCCAGTTCTGCCTTATATGGAACAAGAGGAACCCATTGCTCTGCCTTCTACCATGTGGATGCCCACTCCCAAACCAGAAATGGTTCAGGAAGTCTATGATGCTCTTGCCACTGCTGAGGCAGTTGCCACAGAGATTGAACTTGCCAATATAAACACTGCAGAGTTTGAACTGTTATTTTAGGCCCTGTTTGGAATGCCAGTTGAAAAATTTTGAGAAAAAAAAAGATATGGAAAATTTCTCTCATGGTGTCATGTGACATAGGTTGTGGGAACATGATTATGTAACCTTGTCCTGTTCATCACTCCCCTGGGAGTCCTATGCAGTGAGCCACCTGACATGTCTGATTCATCCAGCAATGGATCTAGGCAATCTCTTCACTCAAGTGGCACAGTGGATCCTACCATTCTGCAGAATGCTGGTAAAAGACCTACCTGCACACAAAGCTGTCTCTGGAACATGGAGGAGGAGATTGCTTCTCCTTGAATTCTTACTCAAGTCTTTGCCTCATGCCAGCAATGGAGGGTTCAAGGACACAGTTTTTGAGGCAGCAGCAGCTCATTTGAGAGCCAAGTTTCCAGTGTACAGAGGTGTGCCAAAGCATACATCAGCATGCAAAAGCAAGTACCATGGGGATGTGAGTAGTGTCTTATTATTATCTTGCTGTCTGATGTCTTTGTAGCTCAAAAGGACATATGCTCTTGTGAATGATCTCAGGAGTGCATCAGGTTGGACTTGGTCAGATGAGCATGGTTGTGGAATTACAGATGACAATGATTCTTGGTGGCTTGCATGGGTGCAGGTATTGATTGCTCTTATCTACTGCAATCACACATGCTTACCATAATTGTAGGCTAATCACAAAGTAGAGAAGTTCAAGAACACTGGGTGGCCTCACCTCCATCTCATGGACCAGCTCTCACCTGGAACAGAGAAGGGCAAATATGTCATCCATCCTCCAAGGGGAAAATCCAAGAAAAAAACAGATACACCCACCCCCAGCACCCAGTTGACTTCCAATCAGGTGGCATCAACTTCACTTTCTCCCTTTGTGATTCCTCAAACTCCCAACACACCAGCATCAAGTTCCCCCACCCCCTTGCTCCCCTCCACATTCCTTGCACCTTCCACAGTCTCCAGTAGCTCCTTGGCACTGACCAGTGTCAGTTGTGGAAAACACAAGATGGTGGACAGTGCAGGCTCTGATGCTGGGTCAGTGTCCAAGTCTCACCTGCTCAGTGAACAGGCAAAGATGCAGATGGAAGGCCAAGATGCATTGCAACAAATGGTGCAAAGTCTCAGTGGCCTTGCTATGAGCCCCATGCCCTCTGTGCCAGTAAAGACAGCTGCTGAACAAAGTATGGAGATGGCAATGCTTATTATTAATGCCCTTGATATGCCTCAGCAGGATCACTTCAAGATACTTGACTACCTTGCTGCTCCTGGCAATGCAAACCAACTTATTATCTTCAACAAACTTGAGGAGAACATGTGCATTGGTGTCACACACCAAAGGCGTTTGGTGAGGTGGACATGGATACAGCTGATGAATGGAGATGAAGACCATAGCCCTCATGTGAAGAAGGACAGCCAGGAATGTTGGCAGTCATCCCTCGCACAAGAACAGGTCATCAGTGCCAGAGAAAAAGAAAGGGAGCAGGTTAAGTGCTGGCTAAAATTCTTAAGTGCCCATGTACAGCATTCCAGTTTTTGACATATCTCCACCATTTCTGCAGATACCAAGACCATTCCCACACTCACTTGTAGTGCTCAGCCATGGCAATCTTACCTTCCAAAATTGGAAAGGATTTGCACACTCCACATGTTTCTACAGCACTCCCTCCAAAAGATGCTCATTTTGCTAAATTCTTCTGATATGGCTGCCTCTACATCAATCATTTCACTTGTCCCCTTTGCTAGGGACCATGGCTACATATATCTACCAGGAGTTCCTACCAGCTTCTGTCCTGAAGCATCCTGGTACATCCCACCCTTGTCTGTGCCCTCTCAGCCCATCCAGCTTGGACAGCATGTTCTTTTTGTCAGTATGACCTCTAGGAGGACTGTTCTTTGGTCACCTCAGGTCTGTCATTTGCCTTGGAAAGGTCTTATGTGGTCATTTCAGTCTCTCTGGTCCAAGAAGCATATGGATCCTTCCTCCCTGCTCCCTGCAATGTCTTCATACCAGTCTTATCCATCATTCTTCCAAGATTGCAACAGCTACAGTATAATCTACTGTTCTCCACTCTCCCTGATTCGCATCCATGACAAGTATGATGCACATCTTGCCTCCTTGTTGCAAGATACAGCAGAAGACACTCTCCCTTCATCCTCTCTTCCAACAGAGCCTCGTTCATGGGGTTTTTATTTGCTTCACTGAGAGGATGGTTTGGGGGGGAAAGTTGTGATCCCCTATGCTCCTGTCACCCCACAGACCCCCAAAGCTTGACCCCTGTTGACATCTGACTCACCCTGTCCACTTTTGGATGTACTATATTGGCATCAGATCAGGTGCTGCCTCTCTGTCATCCCACCTTGGCCTAGAAGTGATCTCTTTGAGATGTGACACTGCACAGCCTCCCCCTAATGCAATTCCAGTGTGTTTTCCCAGTTCCTGACATTACTTGACTCATACTTTGACATTTCTGACTGTCTTTGACTCACCTATTACCAATACTTACCAATCTTTTGACTTTGCTTACTGATTCTTTGCCTTTTGGCTTGCTTATGCTTACCAATGCTTACCAATGCTTTCCAAGACAATTACCCATCGCTTACATTCCTTACTCATCAGTTACCAATCACTTACCAAGTGTTTGCACCTTGTTTTCCAAGGGAAACACCCCTGTACTGTATATAAATCACTGTACTTAGATAGCAAAAAAAAAAGGAAGACATCAGAGAGCCCCTCTTGCTCACATTTTATCATCACTCAGTAATTCATTCAGCAGCTTCAATAGTTGAGACTTTATTAAGGGTCTAACTATCATCTACTTCACTTATCCTTGTCTATCATCAATATACTTGCCTCCAAGCAGCTCCCTGAGCTCAGTGCAGCTTAGGACATTGAATTAAGTTGTCATCCATCCTTCTGTAGGCTGACAGCAGTCTACCCTATTCGCATTCTCTCACATTCCTGCTCCTTCTTCATCAGGAGCACCCCCAACCCTCAGCACTCATCTTTGAGTGTTGTAGCTTGCAAAAACCCTCCCAAAGAACAGGTTCTACCATCTAGGTACTGCATAGGCACACCACCACTTGCCTCTTTTTGTCTTTTGTGTTGGTTTTGGTTGGTTTTCACCACTGAACCACACTTTGACTCACAATGTACAGAATGTGAACTAAACATAAAATTCATGCTAAGACTACACACCTTTGAAGCATTTATTGGGTATAGGAGGGTTATCCATGCTCCTTACCTCTTCACAAAGGCATTTAGAAGACATAATTGCCAAAGACATAACATCCATATTGTTCTCCTGACTCAGACGCATGCTTGAATTAAGCACTTTGTGCTGGGCGATGATCTGCTGGAATGCATTCATCATCTCTGGTGGTTTCTCATATGGCATGCTGGCCAAGAAATGATCAAAAAGGGAGATAACATCAGAGAACTGCACTGCAGCAGGGACCGCCCAAGCAATACACACCACTCATTAGCCAGAGGGATTGGATCTTGAAAGTATTGCGAGACCTCGGAATCCAGCCTTGATTCAGATGGGTCATTAAGGAATGTGAACTTGGTGCATCTGGCAATTTTAAGATCTTCAGCCACCTTTTCACTCCACAAGCCAAGAAGTGTCTTTTCATGGCTGATATCTTGACACTCATGGCCAAGTGGCCCATCATAAAGGATGAGGATCCAGATGAAAACATAGAACAGGGCATTTGATATCATCCACAAATGTATGGTGTATAGTAGTAGGGTGATTGATGAATTCACAGGTGAGAGAGGTGCAATTCTGGATCAATGAGACATTAGTCTTTCCACTTTTAGTGATGGCTTCCTTGAGTTGGCAAAGGATATTCACTGAAAGGAAGGGGACTGTCCCCTTTGCATACTATCAGCTTTGAGCTCCAAAATGTTTTGCATAGTACTTACTGTGCCACCCAAAGTCATATTCCCCTGTAATGTGACCCATACAGCAAATTCCCAGTCAAGGAGAAAGCCATGTGACCCATTTGCAAAGTCCTCAATCATTGTATTGTTGATGCTACAATCTTGAATGGAGGACACCCCTCTCGAGAGCCTGCTGTTGGACTGTTAAAGCAATTAGTATTGATTTTACAAGTGGAAGAGGATACATACTTTGTAAAATATCTCAGATGCATGAAACAAGTTCCTTTTTTGTCTTGAACATTACCATTGGCCTTGCACACAGCTTCATAGCCGATCGCACATGAGTTCTCCGAGACTTCATGCATGATCACCACTTCTCATCACAATATTGTTCAGTTTTATCAACAATGCCTGGCTCAACCTTGACAACCCAGTAGTGTTGCAACTTGGGAACTCCATTGATGTCCTGGACCAGCTTCATCATGTTGACTTCATGCAGGGCTGTCCTCTGCTCCAACTCCTCCACCCAACAATCCTTGATGACATAGTATTCCCCATTGTAGCATGCAAGGTAACAAACAGTACCCCTTCCTAGAAAGCCTGTGCTCAAGAATAATACATCAAGCACCTCGTAGAAGGTCTTGTTTACCTGGATCCTCCTGATTGCTGGGATGTGTTTGGGTGATGTGGGAGTCAGGAGTGAGTTTGCACTGGGGAGGATGCCCAACTCCAAGTGAGGAGATGGCGTTGCAGGAGAGGGGAAAGGGGAGAGAGGTATCGCAAGTGCTGTGCATTTGTGGCTGTGTGCAGGATGGGGGGATATCTCTATGGTCAAATCAAAGCCAAGGGTTGAGCAGGAGCTGAATGCAACAGCACATACAATATATATGAAGACTTCTGCTGTCAGTGTGGATATTGATAGAGGGTGAGATTGCACCACCAGAGTGGTCATAAAAGTGAAGTCAAAGAAGTTCACTATCAGTAATTGATAATCCAAGGACATAGTGCCTCCAGGGCTGGTCAACAAGGGTTAGATATGCCTTAGTGTCCATCATCTTCCCAAGGTGGGATGCTGGCTTGAAAGACTCCTTTGAGTACTTGGCAATGACTTTGGGACTTAACCATGTAATCTCATCAAGGGATATTGGGGTGTTATCGACAAGGATGAGGTTGGGCTTTCAGGAATAACCTGTAGAACCTTACAAGCTGGTTCTGCTCCAGTCCACCATCCATTGATACTGGGGTTTGCTGGATAGACTGGGCATCATGGATTTGGCAGCAGTTCTGATAGCATTGAGAAACAGAGCAACTTGCTTTTCAAAGCAGAGCTTTTCCAATTCTACCAGCAGCCCTGAGGCAAGTGGCCCAGGTTGCTTGGGAGGTGAATCAGAGCCTGGGGGTGGACGAAGCTCCCAGTTCCAGCACTTTCTATCATCATTGTATAGGCTGACCAGGCTGTCCTCTGACAAGCCACCCTGGTTGAAGGAGGCAGAATAGCTATGGACACATGTGGGAATTGTTTTCAGAGGGACAATCAGGGACCTGGGAGCTATGGAGGTAAATGTATCTCTGAAGGACTCGAAGATAATATTTGTAACATAACTGAGGCTCTGAGGAGAGCTAACTTGTATCTGTGGTTCACAGATGATGTGCACAGGGTGTTTGGTTGGCTGCGAAAGGAGTAATCTCCATTGAGTGCCAGTGTGGCCCACCAGGGAGTAACTCAGCCAGCCCATGAAGTGCTCTGGCTGTATGAAAGGAAATATTTAGTAGCTGTATCTGGTGCACATCAATAATGATCTTCAGAGAGAATAGGGACAGGCTTATGATTGACAATGACAAGAAAGAGTCTATAGCTCTCATGCTCAGGCCTGAACAAAGTAACCACAATGCCAGCTCCCATTCATTGTGGGAGTTGAAGGGGTAGTACAGATTTGATGCCCCTAGGTTGCTGAACTGGTTGCCATTAAATTTGTCCATAAATGTTGGGCCAAGTCCAAACATTTTAGCTGCACCCTCAAAGTCATCTGTGGTTGGCCCCCACATGTCAAATGCCATATGAACAAAATCCAGGTAATTGTGAGTTGCATAGTCATTGGGGTCAGTGCTCATTGGGACATCTTCTAAGTGTGTTGGGTGTTGAGAGTTACAAATGTTCAAGCTTGAAGGTTGGAGAGACTTGTGAAGGCAGACTAAGTTATTGACCCAGGTATTGCACCCAGAGGATGGCTGGCTCATGTGCATTGTGACAGTGCTGTGACTCTGGAAGCTGCCTTTACTGCAACTTGGACAGCAGGGCATACTCTAGATGGTCAGGCAGGCTGATTCCGTGTTACATGATTATCACTTCAGTGTAAATCAGGACATTGTTTGGATCGCTATGGAGTGTATTTCTCATATACTACCCAATCACATCTCATTCACAAACATAGTCACTCATGTCCATTTATAACCTCAATCACACACACCTTCATGCTGGATCAACCATGCCCATGGTCAAGCATTGCCCAGGCAGCAAAGGACTGCCCCATAAGCCTTGTGATGGCAGGTTCTCTTCCTGCAACAGTCCCTCTAGCAGTGCCAAGGTCAAAGTGGAGACAACTGGTGTCTTAGCTGAGATGTATGGAATATTGGAGTCATCCACTCACACAGTAAGTTCTTTTTTTCCTTCCTAATAACCACTCGTTGATAGGTTTTCAATCTGCAGCATGAATCAAAGAGTCAGCTGAATCATGAGGCACTTCTCCTTCTCAATGTAGCATGCACACAATGCAAAGTCTTTTGTGCAGAACAAGCTCTGGCTGCATGCATCACCCATGAATATGAATCAATGGCCAAGTTGTACAAGTACAAGGCAGGCAGTGGCAAGGCAAGAGTCCACAAAAAAGATATGGAGGTTGGCTCATTATGTGTAGCAATGAAAAAACACAAACTGGGGGAGCCTATTTTCAATGTTAGTGTTCTGGCTGGTGAGCTGCAGCCATCTCTCAAGTCCAATGGTATGCTATGCTTGCTCTTTTCTTTTGGGCCACTATTTTACTTATGCCAGATCTTGATAGGCACAGTTATTGAGCATGCTGGTAGTTGAATACTTGCCATTCATCTAGACTAGTACTATCCATTACTTTCCTGTACTTATTGAAAAATGCTGTATGTTATGTCTGTGTGTTGTTGCCTTCATGCATAGGAACAAAGTTAGATCTACCAAGTTCTCTACTACAGTGGGAATCTAGGTTGCTGTATTAGCTAGGTGTGTCTGTTCCCTTGTATGCTAGGTAGCTATTGGTCTTTGGATTGCTGGTATCACTGGTGTGGCTTACTCAGGTGCTATGAGTTGCTTGGATGCTGGCCACTACTTTGGGCAAGTCTGGTGTAGTCTACTCTGGCACTATGAGTTGCTAGGATGCTTGACATTGCTTTGGACTAATATGGAATTGTGCAAATACTATGGGCAGCTATGAGTTACTAACACATTTTTGTGTTTTGCTGATGACCAGCATGTCATAATGACTCTACTGATATTCTATAACATTCCATGACCATTCTTTACTTAGTATAGCAGGAGAAAACCCCTTATGGTAGTTTTATGTACTCAGCGCTACCTGGTCCATGCACTGACCTTCATGTATATATACTTGAGACCTGCATCAGGAAGTGAAAAAATGGTTTAAACCTGTTTAAACCTGTCACTGACTGGTTGTGACCACAATTCTGTCATTCCCCATTTCTCTGATGTGGGGAGCTATACCCTCAGACTGAAATTGACTTCTCATTGATATCATCAGCTCTACTCACTACTGAACCTTCTTCAAGCCAATCACCCTTCTGCTATAAAGGCAAGTGTTCTGTCTTGCCTATCCCCATGATTAGTCCTCTGTGCAGTATGTGGAAGGCTTGTTGAGGCATGCATAGCTGCCACTTCGCACTGGTCGACAATGACAACCACTCACTACGACTGTGAGGTAACATTGACATGGGTACAGGGGATCAACTAGTGCAGGGGAAGGCATATTTTCAGTTGATATCTGCTGGCAAATATGGTACAACGGTAGTTGGTAAAAAGACAATTGGTTGGTCACAGTCGTGTCACGAGGACGTAGTACTTTGGTGGTACATCTCCCGCAGGCGCTTCTGGACGTAGTCCCCTGCAGAAATGGGTTCGTACTTGGGCGGTCTCTCAGGAGATATACAGCTTGGCATAGGCTGGGCGGAATGATTGATCTGGATTTCATAGCAAGCTTGTAAGTCGAGATAAACTTACCTCGACATTGACGTGGTAATCCGTGCCGAAGAACAGCGGAATGGAATATCGGCGGACGCCGCTCCTGTTGATCGCCCTGTGCACGGTAGACCTAAATATGTCGTCTTTCAGGGGAGCATGTGAAACAGCGTCAGTACGTGTGATCAGAATGGCAGCTCACTTGTCCATCGTGCAAGCTGGTCCCCGATACTAGGCACAATCAGTTTGGTGATTTGGATCCCTTTCAATCTGCTACGCACTTGATGACCAGTGTTCCTGGAATCGGAGGTGCATTTATCCACTGTTTCTCCGAGTTTAACACCTGAAGAGCTTGAATACCAGACTCCTGCCATAAGATAGTGAAACACTGGATGTTATTTTAGTCCAGAATTGGGACAGTCAGACTCTTTGAGCAGAATCCCAACCTCGAAACTGGGAGGAAATTTATCAAGACACATTCAAAGGCACAGTCGGAACGTTTACTCTGTGTGGGCACCGATTCCAACGATACGGTCGTCTTCAGGACCTGTTTGAGGTGGATAATGGAGAGTCCGCATGATTGCGGCAGAATTCCTGGTCTAGAAACCGTCGGCGAGGATAGTTGGGTAAGTAGGAACTATCGGTACCTTGTCGTCAAAGTACGTCTCAGGTAGATCCAATGCGAGGGCAAAGAGGCGGAACAGGACCTTTCCGACACCTACAGCCGCATGGCTTGATCACAAAATGGGATGAGGCACGCTCGAGCGGGTATGTCATGATGAAACGCACTAGTAGCTGAGACATGCTTCACGGAACCTGGTGGGTTCCAAGGGCCATACGTTTGCTCCAGACATAGCACCATCATTCGCTCTCTTCTCGTCATTCTCCTTGGGTAACATTTCTTCCCAACCGATTTCGAAGCCCTCGTGTAGATCGCCTCTGTTGGCTGGGTCGATGTTGGAGTCTAACACGGGTGCGTACCCTTTGAAATTCGCGATTTCTTTATGATAAAGCTTCTCTGGGTGAGGCGAAGATTGGGGTGATGTAGGGATGGTGGCGCCTACCTTCATTTTCGTCTCGAGCGGGAGAGAAAAATAAGCCTTCATCACCGAGAAGACCTCGTCGATCGTCTCTTGGGGTATACCATGGTTGCTAACTGCAAATAGGTCGTTGAAAAATGATGAAAGGAAAGGTCGGAGGATCAATGCCCACCGTAAAAGAATCCGACATTCATGCAGGCATTCCTTATCTGCTGAGCCAAAGCAGCTCGTTCCTCGGGTGTCGAGGCACGACCTATATCGCTGTCCAGCAGCTGAGGCCGAGTACCGGACGCAGTAGAAGGAGGAAACGCACACAATGGGTATACTGTCGAATGCACCGCTCACCGAGGCCGCTGTATCTGCCAGAGACATCTTGTTCGCGGCACACTCAGCGTCGTACTTTTGATGGAAGTTAGCACTCCTTATCTGATAACGTGTACGGTAGGCAGGCAAGCAGACACAGGAATTGGATAGGCTGGAATATACGTCTATTATACGAGTCTTTCTGTTTCGCTTGTCGTTGAATCGGGTCAGTCTGCACGAAGTGTGCTTGCGCAGGGACTCCGACACTCGGTGGTTAGGGGTTTTATTTGACGGATGTCGAGTTGCTTACGTGATATTCGTGAACATTCCCCTTCGACCACAGCAACAGGTGTCCAGCCAGCGGTATGATCCAAGACTTCGATTTGTGCCATCTATTGCGTCAAGAATGCCTCAAAACGAGCGTAATATGATAGGCTCAGTCGTTGAGCGCAAGATAGCAAGTCAACCCAGCACTACGCCGAGATTTACTGCGAAGCCCGGCATCGGATTTCCTGCCGTGCAGCACAGATCCAAGAGCGCGTTCGCACGTGCGAGGGAAGAGAAGAAGGTGAACAATGCAGATATCCGATCCAACGAAGTCCCTGTGGTAGTGACGACCCAGGCATCACTCACAGCTGAAACCAAAGCCATCTCGACGGATGTTGAGGACTTGCGGCATCATATCAGTCGGGCGAATGAACAACAGCTGGCAAGCATGACATCGGAGGAGATTGAGAAGGAGAGGAAGTCCATTTTGGACCAGTTCGGTAACGACGCTCCTGACCTGCTGAGACGAGTTCGGGAGGCTAGAGAGAGGAAGCTCGCACGGGAAGCTGCTCAAGAGACGGAGGCGGAGCGAAACGTGATTAGTTCCGAGCAGACGGAAAGACCCCCCATTCATCACCCTAAGCCAACGTTGCTGTCCTTGGGTGCCCGACCGGGCATCCTCCGAGTGAGGAGCCTCGAAAGTGTTCCTCAAAGTGGTAAGGTTGTTACTTTGTCGCTTTGTCCTAGTTTTCTCACTTGACCGAACTTAGCGCCGCCAACTTTTTCTTCCCAGAGAAGCTGCACGCGTCCACCCAGTAGGACGGGTAAAAAAATTCGCTTTGCTGAGGTCACACCCAAGGATATCTACGTCTATGAATCCGCCCCTGTTTCTCCGAAACGACAAGTCTTTGCACTTCCACCGCCCCCGGACAAACCAGATAGCTCTATCGTTTCTCTTGGAACGTTCAAGGGATCGATTCCTTCAAAGCGACCCCACCCTATTGACAGTCCATCGGACGATAAAGAGAGTGCGGCAACGGCGACTGGCGACTCCAAGCTGGAGGAGGGCACTCCAGAGCACATTCGCCGACGCTATTTCCCGGACGCCTCAGAGAACGATCCAAACCTCGAATGGATGCAAGCCTCGACTTCCCCAGATTCCTCCGAACTCCGCTTTGACCTCAATGGTGCACCGATACCGCCTCCACTCTCGGAGACTTTGCCATCCCATCTTGGGCTACATCACCATGCGGAAGGGAATCGGGCAGGTTATACACTTGATGACATCTTTCTTCTGTCGCGATCCACAGTCCCTGCACAACGTGCATTGATGCTTGGCGTACTCGCGAAGGTCGTTCACCGCCTAGGTACACAACTCAAGGACGGCAACTCCCCAGACAAGATCGCCGAGCTTGTCGGAAAGGAAGGTAAACACCGTAAGCAAGCTCTTGCTGCTGGCCTTTCGGCCATCAGTGAGCGCGGTAGCGTTGGTGCCATGGCGGTTGAAGTGGTTTGGGAATGTCTAGTCGTTTGGGACGATCACACTGCTGACGTCGAGGGCATCGAACTCCACCTCGCTCCTGATGTTATCTCTTCGACTCACCCGGAACAACTACTTCCGATCATCGCGGGAATACTGGCACAAGCTTCACTTCCCCGTGAAACACTTGAGCAGTTACTGGCTATTGTTTACCGATTCGTGCAGGAGTCGAACGAGCTAGCTGACTTTATAATGACCGTACCTCATTTGGTATCCGCCATCATTCAAACGTTCCTGCTGACACCTATCCCGCCCCGCGAAGATTCCTTCCTTCCTGACCCTATGGCATTGCGCCTCCTCATTATCCTTGCGTCCGCCTCTCGCTCAAACGCTTCAACGTTACTTGAACCCGCAGACGCCCTGCTTAGATTCGCCACCCTTCTGCCGCATTCGTCGCCTTTCCCAACGCCTCTCGCAACGTCGTTACTGATCCAAACACTCCGATTTTATAGGATCTTGGCTTCCTACGGGCTGTACTCTCACATCGCCACATCAGCTTCCCTCTACTTCTCTGCTCTTGGTTCATATGTTCTGTCATCGCCGCCGTTGGCCCCAAAGACGTTATCGCAACTACGTGCAGCGTGGTCATTCCTTTTGGAAGTTTGGATAGTCTGTGCTACCGACCCTCACGCTACCACTCCCCCGCATGAGATACTATGGAGCCAGGTGACTGCCTGGGGTTGGGAGAGTGAAGTGCGGCTGCTTAGGAAGGATTTGACGGAGGCTGAACAAGATTGGGAGGTATGGAGTGCTGTTTGGAATGTCGAGGCGGCATGGTTGGAGGGAGCTAGGATTAATGGGATGAAAGGTGGGGAAAAAGAGCGATCGGAGGTTTTGGAATCTGTTCAGCCTGGATTTGAAGCGGAAGAAGGATTAGAGCATAAAGTTGTGCGTGCCGCTCTCGAAGCAGTGAAGCAGCATTTGGGCATCCTGGCTACAGACGGTCCTGGGATGGAAAAGGCTCTCAGGCTGATCGTGACACCCACCCACGCCCTCTCCTCTGCGATCCGATTATGGCTCGCTTGTCTACCTCCTCTCAAAGACGTACCACTCGGTTCCCCCCCGTTTACGCTCCCGTTTGGAGGGCTATCCAAGCTCTGCGCTGAGTTAGTCACACATCCCGTCTGGTCGTTACCACAAAAACACGGAATGTACCTTCAAGTCCATCTGAGGCCTCTCAGCAGCCTGCTCGTGTACTTCCATCGGCTTTCTCGACATATTCCTGGAACTGGTCCAGACTTGTGGCTCGCTCAAGGTCTTTCGATGATAACCCGACTCATTCCTGGAGACGAGAGTGCTGCAATTGCCATGGAAGAAAACTGTATTCTACCCGTGACACCTCAGATTGCCGGGTTTCAGGTGCAACCTCCATCCGTCGCGACTGACATTCTTAAACCTTTCTTTGAGCACACCATCCGTCCCAGCCTGAATGTCTACCTTGGTCCCCTACACATCATGACTGAGAGCATTTCCCGCAGTACGACTCTTAGACTTCCCGATGGCGCCCCTGACCTGCCAGAAGAAGACAAGACTGGCCTTCCGCTGCCTCGGGACTGGCTTACAGCTCCGCTTACGCACCTCTTGAGGTCAGGGACATCACCCGTTTTCCGCAATCTGCCTACTGGTTGGGATGCATCAGAGGTAGAGGTCGTGCGAGCTACATTGCTACTTCTCCACGTGTCATCTGGTGTGCTTCAGCGTTGGGGCCTCGGCCTATATGCTCTCGGACCTGCCGAAGTAGTGTTTGCTTGTATGAAAGTTTGCATGCTTGAACACGGCGTTGGCGGCGGTGCATTTGGAATGGACTCGTCGACAGAAGTCTTCCGAGATAGTGTCGTGGAGAAGTTGATGGAGTGGCTACTGGACCCTCTTACACCAAAGCGACTTCCAACACCCCCTCCATCTCCGCCCACCACCGCCACTTGCAATGAACCAACACCTGCTTCGCTTCCCCCGTTCACCCCCCAGAACTACCTAGAGATCGCGTCGCAGACGTACCTCGGCCAGACTCACACCCCATTCTACCAATTTTATACGGATCTTGTCGCACTATATACTTCCGTATCTTTCGCCCACCCGATCTTCGGCGCACTTCTGATTCCGGCTCTGGCCATGCGTTACCCAAGTGACTACCGCCGACTTGTATGGTGTGAAGCCGGAGACGGTTCACGAGCCAGTTCAGGCGTGAGTGGTGGTGTCGGTGCCGTGACTGAGGTCGTGAGGACGGTTCGTCTCAGCTTGGAACAGGTCGTCTGCTGTGGCTTGGGATGGCCGGGCTCGAACAATGTGCCGACTTTTCCAGGACGTCAGGGAGTATTTGTATCCTGTCGAACGCGACGGAAGGATTCTTGGGGCGCACCTCCAGGCGCTCCTTGCAGGTACGAATGCACCACAAGGGTTTCTGCGTCTTGTTGCGGCCCATCACGTTGCGTGTACGGTGTGGCCAGACCTACAGAGGCTTGCGAGGGCAGCTGAAGATGGGACCAGTAGCAATGACACCGCTACGGACGGAGGCGATGTTATGACAGTCAGCACCACCGAGCGATCCCGGTCAATCATCCTGGTTCTCTTACAAGGGCCAACGCTGCTTCGGCTACTTCTAAATCGGGGTGATGCTCCAGCCGTGCGCGACGTCTTGTTGTACCGCCAAAGTCCAAGAGGTGGATTCTTGTGGCCTCCATCATGCTTTGAAGGCGATTTAGCGGAGTCAGATAAAGCAGAGAGGGTGGAATATGTACGGGATGTTATTAGTGGTGATATGGCTGAGCGGGTCAAGGTTATTTTTGGGTGGAAGAAAGACTAAATTGGTGTATACTGTATTTTGCCCCTGACGATCCTGACTTCAAGTATGCAATTGCAAGTTCCTGTGACCAGTTGTAGCGAGCTCCTTCCCAGCTCTTCAATCTGCGCGAGTTGAGCAGCACCCACAGCCCAAATTCCTTTCAGTTCCTACTTGCACCTGTCCCGTGCGGCGGTGTAAGTCCCTAATCGTCCGTTCCGGCTACTCCTAGATCTCACCGGCAGCCGATTCTGTCTGTTCTAAACGCACTGTCTTTACCTGTGAATTTTTTCATGCCTACTAATCAGTTTCGCTGATTCGTGTAGCATCTGACATAAAAGGTCGCCTGCTACAGAGAGCACCTCCCACAGCACAATCCTTAGACTCTCAGGTCGCACTTGCTGCCTACCAGAACGAAGTCAAGGCTGCCAGTCTTCTGCTGCCTCGGCACTGGCTTGTGACTTTGCTTACACACCCATTGAGACCGGAGATATCGCTCATTTTTCACGGTCTGCCTATTGATTGGAATGCTGTTGGAGGTGAACGTCAGTGCGAGCTACACTACTACTTCGCATGTTATGCGGTCTGCTCCAGCGCTGGGGACTCAGCGCGTATATGCCCTCGGACCTGCCGAGATGGTGTTTGCGTGCATGACGGTGTGTACGCATGAGCACGGCGTCGGCAGTATTGTATCTGGAATAGACTCTTCGGCAGGAGTCTTCCGGGGCGATGCTGTGGAGATGCTGATGGGTTGGCTAGTGGGCCGGTTTACACCAAAGCAACTTCCGATAGCCCTTCCAACACTGCTACCATCATTCGCACCGAAACAACGACTGCTTCACTTCACCCGTTCATCCCTCAGAACTACTTGGAGGGTGATGGCCCGGCTCGCAGTGTGTCTGCGTTCTCCGACGCTAAGGAGTATTTGCACCCCATCGAACTTGACGAATGGATTCTTGGGGCGTACCTTCGAGTGCTACTAACAGATAGGAATGCGCCACAGGGGTTTCTGCACCTGCTGGCGGTACACTATGTGGCTGGACCTACAAAGGATTGTGTGGATTGCTGAAGGTGGGACTAGTAGCACGAACGCAGGTACAGAAGATTGCGAAGTTACAGGACTCTCACCACCGAGCGGTCCGAGTCGATCATCAGGTTCCCGTGTAGGACCAACGTTGCTTCGTCTTCCAAGTTGTCAGGCTTTGAGGGCGGTTCTATAGCTGAGAGAACAGGCGGAGAGAATGAAACATGTACAGAGTGCTACTAACACTGATATAGCTGAGTGGACGCAGGCTACTTTTGTATGGAAAGCCGGACAACCGCGCTTTGTTTGGCAGGTGGTTTTTGTGCCGATGTCAAAAGTGCGGTACGTTTTTCCAAGTTTAGAAGTACTGTCAGCAGGGGGACACCAGACACTGCGGTAGTGCAGTCGTCAGTCACGCAGTCACGCAGTAGTACGACGTGCAGTAGTGCAGTCGTTGGTCACGCAGTAGTGCAGTCATTGGTCACGCAGTCACGCAGTAGTACAGCGGTAGGGCACATGACCAACAAACAGTAGTACAAATGACCAACAGACAGTAGTACAGATGACCAATGTATGGTAGTGCAGATGACTGACGTGCAGTGGACACACAGTAGATAGTCAGTTGCTATATACTCAACCCAGGCTATAGTGTCAGAGATCATGGCACAACACCTCAAGGTTTCTGCCCCACATAGTGAGCTGTTGATATGTTGTAGGTATAGAGCCATCCTCCAAGATGATTCCTTTTTTAACTGCCCATGTCAAATATATCAAAAATGCGAACACTTTTTTTGTTTTAGTCCCCAAGATACTTTCCAGTTTTTCAGAGCCTTTCAGACACTTCATGGATGATCAAATTACATGAAAATACACTTATTATGACCACTACACCATGTTAGATTACATTACCAGTGCCAAAAAGCCCAGAAAAATATTTTCAGGGTGTAACACAGGGAGGAGGCAATTGTGCCACTACACTTGAAGCACCCCATCCCAGCCTATCAACTTTTGATATGTTGTAGGGACACATGGCCCCTTTAAGGGGACGCAATAAATAGATAGATATGTCCAATATATCAAAAAAGTGTTTGCTTTTTCTGTTTCCCCCCCTATCACACTTTGCAATCATTTAAACCCATTAGGATGGGCAGAAAAGCATTCATTTATGGTCTAATACACTTATAGTACAATTAACTATCATATACAATGCCTACAGGGAAGGGAAAGAGACCAGGAAGGAAGGGGAGGCTGGGGGCAATGAGGGCAGTGTGTGGGAATGTTGGATATCAGGCACATGCCAAATGAGGTCATGTTTTGGGAGTAGTGGCTGCGCTTTTTTATGCTTATGTAATTACATAAAATGCGGAGGAGTGATGAAAATAAACTGTGGGGATTTGTGGGGAGAAACTCCTGATCAGCACTACTCATATATTGATGGATCACTACAGGTATAAGGGAGTTAGGCAGTCTTGCATCACAGTAATGCTACAATTATCACACTTTGATGCATCAAAATGACACTATCACATAATGTACCTACTTTGTACTGTATCATATGACCAAATGAGGTAGACAATTGGCTGTGTTGCACAGACTGGCTAAAGTCAAGCCCACCTCTGAGTTGTCATTGTGTCACACAGCATAGCCATGATCATTGGATGTCACCATACTGCACAGTGTGGCTGAGAGGTGACTACTATATACATCTTGCCTGGATAATCCTGGCATGGATTCTGGCAAGTTGGGAAAGATCTGGTACTAACCTGGTCTGTGCTCACTGGCATGAGCCCAGCATGTGTCAGTGATTGCCAGTGGGTCAAAAGGCATTCCACTGTAATTCTATTGGGTTGGTATGAATGCTGGGCTAATTCCAGTAAGCTGGGACAAATGCCAGGATAATGCCAATTGCCCAGTGTAGATGATGGGCTAGTCTTTTGGCATCCCCTGGTGAATGGATGAGCCATACAAATAGTGTCCCATATATATTGGCTTGGCTGGACCTGCAGTGTTCCATTTGGAACAGTAGGAGCATATTTCAGTGTGCCATGCACATCAGCCTCAGCCCAAAGAGGAGTGCCCATGTACTATGGAGGGCTTATAGTCCATTGTACTGTGTCCTTGGGGAGGGCCCAGATATTATGATCCCATAGGACAGGCTGGATGAATACTCCAGTGTTTCATGGCATATGGGAGGTCCACAAGATGGTGTTCCATCTGTCTCAGATCAGCCCATATATTATGATCACCAATCCATGTGGTCTGGCACATATGCCATGGTCTCATGCACAACAAGCAAGCCAATCTCCCAGTGTGCCACCTGACTGGATTCAGCTTGAGTTGAAGTGTTCTGCCAATTACAGGCCAGCCATAGTCAATATTTGGGGGAGGTATATGGAAAGTAACTTGGCTCAGGATGGCATATAATATCTATAGAACTACCTTTACATGGACCCCCTATTGGATAAGTGTAGGTTATATGGAATGTCCCACTGGACCTGCAGGCATCAACCAAGTCTGGACATTCTGAACTCTCATCCAATCCCCATGGAGTATCCCTATCCAATTGTGTATGTTGTCCCTCATGTAGTAGGCAAAGCAACATTGGTTCCCACCCACAGAACTAACCCCATGTCAAAGAAGCCTGCTGGAAAATGCAACTACAGTGCTGGGGTTGTAAAGGAACTGAAGGCCAAGTGTGGGGATATCCAACACACAATCTTCATAATCACCAACCATGACCAGCATGTCATACCAATCAGACTGTGAGTGTGGGTCCTGGTGAAAGGGTGTGGTCTGGTTAGAGATTACAGAGACATTAGTAAAAACCAACAGCCAGTGCTGCAAGGCATCATGCATATCTTGTTTATGCTGACTCAACCATGTGTCCAATGACTTTTCACACTACTTCCAACCCTACACTGGTACCTCACATGCTGGTCATGGTGGAACTTGGCACTGTAACTGGCATTGTCAAGGTTCAATCATCCTGAAGTGGCTTAAGACAGGAGTCCACTGAACCCCACCCCACCCCCTGGCTTCATTTGAGGGAGGTGCTGGCTTGGAAGTGCCTCCTTCGAATGTCAAAGCTGTGCATGGACCTGCTGGAGGTCTGGAAATCTCTATTACTCCACCACCACCAGCAGTTGGATCACTGCTGTGAGTCAAAGTGTGGTTCAGTGGTGAAAACCAACCAAAACCAACACAAAAGACAATGAAAGCAAGTGGTGGTGTGCCTATGCGGTACCTAGATGGTAGAACCTGTTCTTTGGGAGGGTTTTTGCGAGCTACAACACTCAAAGATGAGTGCTGAGGGTTGGGGGTGCTCCTGACAAAGAGGGAGCAAGAATGTGATAGAAAGCAACAGGGTAGACTGCTGTCAGCCTACAGAAGGATGGATGGTGACTTAATTCGATGTCCTAAGCTGTACTGAGCTCAGGGAGGGCTTGGAGCAAAGTATATGGATGATAGATGATGATAAGCGAAGTAGATGATAGCTAGACCCTTAATAAAGTCTCAACTATCAAAGCTGATGAATGATTTACTGAGAGATGATAAATTGTGAGCAAGAGGGGCTCTCTGATGTCTTCTTTTTTTTTTTTGCTACCTAAGTACAGTGACTTATATACAGTACAGGGGTGTTGCCTATGGAAAACAAGGTGCAAACACTTGGTAAGCGATTGGTAACTGATGAGTAAGGAATGTAAGTGATGGGTAATCATCTTGGAAAGCATTGGTAAGCATTGGTAAGGATAAGTAAGCCAAAAAGCGAAGAATCAGTAAGCAAAGTCAAAAGATTGGTAAGTATTGGCAATAGGTGAGTCAAAGACAGTCAGAATGTCAAAGTAGGAGTCAAGTAATGTCAGGAACTGGGAAAGTGCACTGGAATCGCATTAGGGGGAGGCTGTGCATGTCACATCTTGAAGAGATCGCTTCTAGGCCAAGGTGGGATGACAGAGAGGCAGTGCAGATCTGATGCCGATATAGTGCATCCAAAAGCAGACAGGGTGAGTCAGATGTCAACAGGGGTCAAGCTTTGGGGGTCTGTGGGGTGACAGGAGCACAGGGGATCGCAACTTTCCCCCCAAAACCATCCTCTCAGTGAAGCAAATAAAAACTTCATGAATGAGGCTCTGTTGGAAGAGAGGATGAAGGGGGAGCGTCTTCTGCTGTATCTTGCAACAAGGAGGCAAGATGTGCATCATACTCATCATGGATGCAATCAGGGAGAGTGGAGAACAGTAGATCATACTGTAGCTGTCGCAATTTTGGAAGAATGACAGACGAGACTGGTATGAAGACGTTGCAGTGGGCAGGGAGGAAGGATCCATATGCTTCTTGGACTGGAGAGACTGAAACGACCACATAAGACCTTTCCAAGCGAATGACAGACCTGAGGCAACCAAAGAACATCCTCCTGGAGGTCATACTGACAAAAAGAACACACTGTCCAAGCTGGATGGGCTGAGAGGGGGCAGATGAGGGTGGGATGTACCAGGATGCTTCAGGATGGAAGCTGGTAGGAACTCCTGGTAGATATATGTAGCCATGGTCCCTAGCAAAGGGGACAAGTGAAATGACTGATGTGGAGGCAGCCATATCAGAAGAATTAGCGAAATGAGCATCTTTTGGAGGGAGTGCTGTAGAAACGTGTGGAGTGCACAAATCCTTTCCAATCTTGGAAGGTAGGATCGCGTGGCTGAGCACTACAAGCGAGTGTGGGAATGGTTTCGGTGTCTGCAGAATTGGTGGAGATACGTCGAAAACTGGAATGCCATACACAGGTGCTTAAGAATTTTATTGGCACTTAACTTGCCTCCTCCTTTTTCTTTGGCATTGACAACCTGTTCTTGTGTGAGGGATGACTGCTGACATTGTTGGCTGTCCTTCTTCACATGAGGGCTATGGTCTTCACCTCCATTCATCAGCTACATCCATGTCCACCTCACCAAACACCTTTGGTGTGTGACACTGCCTGGACAGGAAGGTAGGATGGAGGTTGACTAACATCAATGTACTTGTCATTTTGCGATCCATTCATGTTTTTTTTGTCTTTGTACTTGTACTTTGTTAGATGCAGCAATATATTCTATATTGTCAAAATGTGATCTCCAGGAAGAAGTGGCTACCACTACTGGTAGTTGTTACTGTATGAATCAGATACTGGAAAACCAATCTGGTATGGTGATGTCTGTACCAAGGCTGTGGTGTTACAAGCACTAAGGGCCAATGGAGTCATGGTTCACCTAGATGATTGAATGATGACTGGCCAGCATAACTCAATTGTTTTTGCTGTATAGCATGATGGTGACTTTCATGGTATTGTTCTGGCTTGCTGGAGGCTGTAAGGCATTGAATTCACAGTTTAAATGTACTGGGTAGTTGGCTAGTCTTCTGGTCATTACCAGAGCCACCATTGTGGTAATACATGCATCTCCAGCATGGTGCTGGTACCAGTACATACATACACTGTGGACCTGCTCCTTGGAGGTCAGGCAGGTCAGGCATGGCATGGTATAATTTCTGGGCAGACCTCCATGGCATTGGCACTGGGATGGCATTCATGGCATTGGTGCTGGGACAGCTTGACTGATGGCCTCATGGCATTGGGGATGTGCCAGAACTCATTACAATGGTGCTGTGACAGCCTGCATGATGGCCTCATGGCATTGGCGATGTGCCAGAACATATGGCACAGGTGCTGGGTCTGCTTCCATGGCATTGGTGTTGTGCTGGAACACATTACAATGGTGCCTGGATGGCTTGCATGATGGACTCATGGCATTGGGGATATGCTGGAATACATGGAACTGGTGCCAGGGTGGCTTCCATGGCATTGGTGTTGCGCCAGAACACATTATGATGGCATAGGTGCTGGGACAGCTTCCACAGCATTGGTGTTGTGCTGGAACACATTACAATGGTGCTGGAATGGCTTTCATGATGGCCCCATGGCATTGGGGATGTGCTAGGATGGCCTGCATGATGGACCTGTGGCATTGGGGATATGCCAGAATACATGGAACTGGTGCTGGGCTGGCCTCCATGGCATTGGTCTGGTGCTGGTACACATTACAATGGTGCCAGAATGGCCTTCACAATAGGCCTCATGGTATTGGGGATGTGCCAGAATACATGGCATAGGTTCTGGGACAGCTTCCATGGCATTGGTGTTTTTCTGGAACACATTCCAATGGTGCTGGGATGGCCTGCATGATGGCCCCATGGCATTGGGGATGTGCTGGAACACATGGACCTGGTGCCAGTGCCAGCTCACAATATATCAATGCTGGGACATCTTCCATGATGGCCCCATGGCAGTGGCAATGTGCCGGAACACATGGCATCGGTGCCAGCATGGCTTCCATGGCATTAGCATTGTGCCAGTTCACATTAAGCCAGTGCTGGCTGGGACAGCCTCCATGGCATTAGTCCTGGGTTGGTGTTGGCCTGGCTCACATTGCATTGGTGCTGGGATGCCTTGAATGGCATTGGTATTGGGTCTGCCCATGTGGAATTGATGCCAGGACAGCCAGCATAGCATTGGTGTTGTGGTGGCCTGCATGGCATTGGTAATGGGCCTGTTCATATTGCATTGGTGTTGGCCTGGCTCACATGGCATTCATCCCAGGATGGCCTGCACAGCATTGGTGGTGGGCCAGCCCACATGGCAGTGTTGCCAGGATGGCTAGCATGGCATTGGTGTTGGGCCAGCTTGCATGAAAGTGTTGCCAGGGGTGAACTCAGGGGCTGAGCCCATCCATACCTTCTGGGGACACCCAACTCTGGGCTTACCTGGGACTACTCATATTGCAGTGGCTACACCTTAATCCCACAGCTGGCTTGTACCCCATGATGACAATTCTAACCTCTGCCCAGCCATTCTCCATAATGACTCCTACTCTTGGGCTCAGCTGTATGCTATGGTGACACACATCTATTGGGCTCTCCCATAGTCCATGATGACACTTACTCCCCAGCCTGCTTGTAACTGACAATGACAATTCAAACCACAGCTGCACCATTCCTCATGACAACATTTCCTCTCAGGCTCAGCTGTACTACATGGTGACACTCATCAGTTGGGCTCTCCTATACTACAAGGTGACAATAGGTTCATGGCTCTCATGTAACACATGTACACAAGCCATACATGGGCTCAACCTCTGCTGGCCTGTCACCAACAGCTGATTGTCAGCCTCTGCTGACTGTCTCATATGGCCTAACCAGGTGCATGGGCTCACACTATAGCCTGGGTTGAGTATATAGCAACTGACTATCTACTGTGGGTCCACTGCATGTCAGTCATCTGCACTACCATACATTGGTCATCTGTACTACTGTCTGTTGGTCATGTGCCCTACTGCTGTACTACTGCATGACTGCATGACCAATGACTGCACTACTGTGTGACCAACAACTGCACTACTGCATGTCATACTACTGCATGACTGCATGACCAATGACTGCACTACTGTGTGACCAACAACTGCACTACTGCATGTCATACTACTGCATGACTGCATGACCAATGACTGCACTACTGTGTGACCAACAACTGCACTACTGCATGTCATACTACTGCATGACTGCATGACCAATGACTGCACTACTGTGTGACCAACAACTGCACTACTGCACGTCATACTACTGCATGACTGCATGACTGATGACTGCACTACCACAGTGTCTGGTGTCCCCCTGCTGACAGTACTTCTAAACTTGGAAAAATGTACCACACATTCAACATTGGCACAAAAACCACCTGCCAAATGAAGCATGGTTGTCCAGCTTTCCATACTTTTGAGCAGAAGGAAGACTAAATGGCTGTATACTATAAAGATGTATTTTGCTTGATGTCAAGTACTACTTACATTTCCTGGCATCGCTGTAGCTGACCATCATGGGTTCAAGTAAGCAGGAGGGCATACATACAATGAGATGATTCAAGTATAACACTGGGTAGTGCAGTCTCTTGACCAGCTCCTCCTACAGGGCCATCAGTGATTCAACATCACAGATCTCAGTTGTGGATGGGTTTGGCCCTTAGAAATAAGATGGAAAATGAAGTGGATGTAGACAACTTGGTAATGCAGACTGCAGTGCAATGAGTATTGTTCTCTGGGCCAAATCACATTGTCAATACTGTGATCCCAAGAAACTGAGGGCAATAAAGGAACACTTGAATGTGTCTCCTAAGACATTCAATTAATTGTAGGACCAGAAAATGACATCAGGAGCATATGTGTATGGGCACAGCAAGTTGAAATGTACATACACTGTGTAAGATGGAGGGAGAATAGGGAAGATGTGGGTCAGCACAAACTCGTTGCACTGTGGGAAGTAAACACACTGATCTAGTGGGCACTTGTTTTCAGTGTCATCTTCACAGGACTGATTTTCGGTGTGCATTTTTTGGAGCACTAAATTTCAGTTGCTGGCACTGATTCCCAGTACCACATATTTTGCAACACTGAAAACCAGTGCCCTGAGTTTGTTGGCACTGATTTTTTAGGCACTGACTTTCAGTACTTGAAGTTTACCAGCACTGATATTTAGTACATGACATTGTCACCTTGTTTACTCACACCAAGTTGTCAAACCAATAAAGTGAGATTGCATGCAGATGCAGTATTACATTATTTTGGAAGTATCAAGCATATAAAATGACAGACAAACACATGAAATCACAGTGGCGCTGCAGCGCAAATGGTGTATTTGAGCCACCCAGATGTAGGGTCACCAGGGAGCACATCATATTCAACCAGTAGAGGCTGAGTATGCACTTCAAAGGCACACTTGCAGCATGTGGACACTTGAGTCTTCAGGTGATAACCACTCAGTGGATGAGAGTCCAGCTTTGATCATGCCCATGGATGGATGGCACCACATTTCAGGCACCCCATGGATAGAGATGTGCCCCATGGGCACTGATGGCTGTGGTACCATGAGTACCTGTATATGGTGAGGAGAGGGGCAGCAGTGAGTGGGGCAGGGCTAAGTAACCATGGCACCCTTGGCAATCCTAGGCCTGAAAGATGAAAGAGCATCACATCAGTGTGCATCCAAAGTTCAAGTGAGACGTTGAGTAGGTCATGGATAACATTCTCCAGAGCATGTCCTTCAATCAAGACTTTGATGCCATACAACATGATGAAAATTTTGATGACCACATTGAGGAAACCCTTGGCAGTGAATGCAACCATATACTCTGGCTGGAGTCTTGGCAACAGTTAGTAAGGTTCTCAATAGATCAATCATTAATAACTGACTGTGCAATAGATTGCTTCAATGCCACAAATGATTGTTCAAAGGAAACCACAGGGCCACAAGTCAACATAAACAGTGTAGAACTGTAGACCATGTTTTGCAGGGGAGAAGTGAACAGGCATTTCATGAACTGAAATGGAGGAGAGAGAGTAACCTCAGTCACATACCTCACCAACCTCCATTGCAACATCCTCACCACTCTTGCCCTTCCCTGCAAACAGGTCACTGCAGTGTGAGTCAAAGTGTGGTTCAGTGGTGAAAACCAACCAAAACCATCACAAAAGACAAAAAGAGCAAGTGGTGGTGTGCCTATGCAGTACCTAGATGGTAGAACCTGTTCTTTGGGAGGGTTTTTTTGAGCTATAACACTCAAAGATGAGTACTGAGGGTTGGGGGTGCTCCTGATGAAGAAGGAGCAGGAATGTGAGAAAATGTGATAGGGTAGACTGCTGTCAGCCTACAGAAGGATGGATGATGACTTAATTTGATACTCTGAGCTGCACTGAGCCCAGGGAGGGCTTGGAGCAAAGTATATTGATGATAGACAAGGATAAGCAAAGTAGATGATAGTTAGACCTTTAATAAAGTCTCAACTATCAAAGCTGATGGAGGATTTACTGAGTGATGATAAAAAATGCAAGCAAGAGGGGCTCTCTGACATCTTCTTCTCTCTTTTTGCTATCTAGGTACAGTGATTTATATACAGTACAGGGGTGTTGCCCTTGGAAAACAAGGTGCAAACACTTGGTAAGTGATTGGTAACTGATGAGTAAGGAATGTAAGTGATGGGTAATCATCTTGGAAAGCATTGGTAAGCATTGGTAAGCATAAGAAAGCCAAAAGGTGAAGGATCAGTAAGCAAAGTCAAAAGATTGGTAAGTATTGGCAATAGGTGAGTCAAAGACAGTCAAAACATCAAAGTATGAGTCAAGTAATGTCAGGAACTGGGAAAGTGCACTGGAATTGCATTAGGGGGAGGCTGTGCATGTCACATCTCAAAGAGATTGCTTCTAGGCCAAGGTGGGATGACAGAGAGGCAGTGCTGATCTGATGCCAATATAGTACATCCAAAAGTGGACAGGGTGAGTCAGATGTCAACAGGGGTCAAGCTTTGGGGGTCTGTGGGGTGACAGGAGCACAGGGGATTGCAACTTTCCCCCCCAAACCATCCTCTCAGTGAAGCAAATAAAAACTTCATGAATGAGGCTCTGTTGGAAGAGAGGATGAAGGGGGAGTGTCTTCTGCTGTATCTTGCAACAAGGAGGCAAGATGTGCATCATACTCATCATGGATGTGATCAGGGAGAGTGGAGAACAGTAGATTATACTGTAGCTGTTGCAATCTTGGAAGAATGATGGATGAGACTGGTACGAAGACATTGCAGGGAGCAGGGAGGAAGGATCCATATGCTTCTTGGACTGGAGAGACTGAAATGACCACATATGACCTTTCCAAGCAAATGACAGACCTGAGGCAACCAAAGAACATCCTCCTAGAGGTCATACTGTCAAAAAGAGCACACTGTCCAAGCTGGATGGGCTGAGAGGGTGCAGATGAGGGTGGGATGTACCAGGATGCTTCAGGACAGAAGCTGGTAGGAACTCCTGGTAGATATATGTAGCCATGGTCCCTAGCAAAGGGGACAAGTGAAATGATTGACATGGAGGTGGCCATATCAGAAGAATTAGCAAAATGAGTGTCTTTTGGAGGGAGTGCTGTAGAAACATGTGGAGTGTGCAAATCCTTTCCAATTTGGAAGGTAGGATCATGTGGCTGAGCACTACAAGCAAGTGTGGGAATGGTCTTGGTATCTGCAGAAACAGCAGAGATATGTTGAAAGCCAGAATGCCATACATGGGCACTTAAGAATTTTA